TTTAATATGCGCTCTATTTAGTAGCAGTCATTTGATAGTCTTGAAGTCTTTGTTCCATATTAGATAAAAATATTACGACGATATATGTTTTGTAAATATTATGCTGTCATTATTCTGTTTTTATAAACGATATTAGATAGATAAACATACTATTATTTATTGGACATCGTGCAAAATTACAATCAACCTATTATTATCGATACCGAAAGTTTCGAGAAGAAGACTGTGACTTAAATATGTAGCTCGGAAAACCCGTTCGCGTAGCCGTATGTCCGTACTGTAGAGCTTGAAGGGAAATTGTATTAACTATGAAATAAACGACAAAGTATATGAATAATGCAACTGTTTATAACATAAAAGCCTAGTAGTTTTCGTCATCTATTAACTACATTCGGCTAAGTTTGTATGAAAATATGACTAACTGTTTATATGATATCATATTAAATACTATCGCCAGTATGCAGTCATCAATTCGATTCAAGTCCAAATATTTGTAGAAAACACAAACTCACAATTTAACAGTAGCGCATCTGATCCAATTGTTAATTAAACTTAAACAGGAAAATCTATCTTAAACCTCTGTTACTGTTTTCATCTTCTTTAACTTTTATTTGATTGGCAAAATCGTACCGATAGCCATGCACTCTGCTTGGCAACTCAATACATTTTAAGAGTATGTCTCATTAATCTCCATTCGTCAATAAATTGATTTTTTCTTTCCTTTGTTAGTATTTTTAAAGTTGTTGGCTAAACTTTATTATACATGAATTCACTTTTAAGCAATTCACGTGTTATTCAATTGTTTCCAATGACTTTAATTATAAATATATTTGATATGATAAAGATGAATCACTGAAGAGAAAGAAAAGTAGCATAATGTAAATTGTTTTGAATAATAACATTGCAATGGAAACTCAAGGACCGAGAAATTAAACATTAAATAAGTAAATTTGTACAACGCTGGGTCTGATGTAATCGTTATATACATATACATACCATCTCATGACTGTATCCTCAAAAGAATTGCTATAATTCGGCCCCTAATATTAGAGAATCAAAACTATAGGACAACGTCGTATTGAATTCTAAACGGATGGATGACAGATTGATTCAGGATTTAGATATGGACTGCTGCTGTAACTAATATTTATTAACCTTAACTGAATTTTGCTCCCACGTAACATAGTGATATGAAAACATTTCTCTATCAATTAAAACACAAGCTTACTTTGTTTCTATACGTACTGCGGCAGTAAGGGTATATTCTCTTGTCCAAATAGTTTACAAACAGATGCCTTGAAACAATGAATCAAGAGATAAAAACTGTCGGTTTGATAACACGCTACACAAATTGTTTATACAGTGTGTAGATCCACACACCTGTGAAGAATAAAAATAAAGAGAAAATATTTGTATGCTGTTGGATTTTTCTATTCTACGTTATTATTCAACATCCGGAGGACAATACATTGATTAGATATGCCGGTGTACTTACATGTGAGATAGGGCCTTTTCTCTTTTATAAGACAAGAACTGAAATGGTAAAAACTATACCTTCTCTGTAGAAGAAGCTGTACCACGAAGCGGATAGAGTTAAAGTGTTTTTCAGTTTTAATGATTGCGCTCTCCACAATCAATATTTATAAAATGCGCAGTTTCCTTGATACTTGTCAAGGAAACTGCGCATTATTATATCTTTCTTTACTATCTCACGTAGAATAGATTTTTTTCAACAAGGAATTTCTAGATTGTGTCTCACCCCGTGTTATAAGGCCCCATTAGGGAGCACCATTTAGTTTTAGTTTGATTTTAATTAAATCAACGAATCCGAGACGTACCGCAAGTATCGCTGACTCTATTTTACCTTCAAGAAAAAGGTATATGTAACGTTTTGAATAGGCCACAACCCCATGCTCTTTCAAAAAGTTTTACATTACATTATAACTATTGGTTTGTTTTTTTTTTTTTGCTTTTAATAATTCAGTTGATACTAGCCCGAGTTGTTTTTTTTCGTTTTTGGCAAGCAGAACCACGTCCATTGCTAGTTGCATTTCCAACAATGCATTCTCATTATTACAAAATATTGTACAACCTTATTGTGTCCTATATCGTACTTAATATGACGTGAAAGAATAGTGTAAGCAAAGGTTTTGTAAGTACCAGGTACGTACATTGTTACCACATAACGTTATGTAGAATTGCGTTATGCAATAATAGAGAACTATTAGATAATATTTAAAATCGACTAACGCATTAATCGATTTTAACATGTTACCAATTCTAATCGACATTTTTTTATCTAATACTTGACTATTGTTTACGATGGGAACATTTTCATTTTAATGCGTAATGCCCATTTCTTTTATCATTTTCTTAGAATAAAATGATTAGGGAAATTTCCATTCCATCTGATATTACTATATGAGGGAGGTAAACCTAAAATATTTTGGGACTTGTCCGCTTGGCTTTCTTTACAGACTTAAAATTTACACACACTGATCAACACCGAAAATAAATTGAAATGAGTCTCAGAACATTTTTTCAATATACCTGAAACGTGGCAACAACATCAAAGTATAGTATAATAGTCCGACACAACCACCACGGTGGTAACCGAGGGGATTTCTGCACAGAAAAAAAAAAGATTAAAAATGATTAGTCTTTGAAAAGGGCGTATTTCCATCATAGTATAGGAAATTAATAATATAAGGTGATCATTTATTACAGATAGGAAGTGACAACATCATCATAAATTTCAGTTTCCTTAATCAAATTAAAAAAAGAGGTTACTCTACAGAAGTCCGTAGCGTTTATTGAGCTGTCTGACTCTGACATGGCTCGTCTTAAATGGCATACCTATAAAATGATACATATACTTGTAGAATCCTTGCCAGTGCAAAACATAGTAACTTCAACTATTTAGTAAACATATTATCGACACTAATATCCTGGTAATAAAGTACTTTCCAAGGCATCTCTCACTGACTTTTATACGAGCGGAAATGTTGGATGGCTGAAAAGCTGGTACTATATTAATTTAAAAATGATTGCATTGTTTGCTAATTTATATTTCATCACTGTGCCGCTTCCTATTACGCCGAGTGTTATGGTTTTAAACCCCACATAGGACGACACTTTGTGTGATCCACAAATTGTTGTTCTGAGTCTGGGTGTTCTTTGTGTCCGTTTCATGTATGTTTGTAAAGTCCCCCGTGACACAGGATATATTCGCAATGCGGGAGTTGTCTTAAAAAAAACCGCACGAATAAGGTGTATATAATACATGTCTCAAACACGATAGTCTCATCCCAAACTGAGCAGAACCTGTACTATGACAACCAGACTGCTGATAAACATACTTAAATATTTCTTAATCATAAATATACCGAAGCACAGAACAAATGATCGTGCTCATCACACGATTATTTGTTTTGGGTGGGAATCGAACTCACGACCTTTGTCTTATTATAAAAAGGTCCAATTTTGTATAGAAAGTAGTATTTGCACAAACTATAAGTACTAAACAAGGCAGACCTAAATATGTATTTAGTTATGTTATAGAGAACAACAATGATAAACAAGTTTTGGCCATTGCCTTTGTCAGACAACCTCGTGCCCTTTGGCATTAGACCCAACTATGTCAGGTCAACCGTGCCTACTTAAATGAGGACTTCCTAGTTTGAATCCAAATGTGTAGAATAATTTATTTGGAAGGAACTTAATTTGCCGGAAACTGATTAAACGAGTTTGGTCGAAGGTTGCTCTTTTGGACTAGGCAATAAGTAGGCAAGTCAAAATCTTAACCTCAAATCAATGCTACAAATAAGTTTCCTTTACAGAGTTAAATAAAACTCGAACAAAAAATTTGTGATAATCAGTACTAATAACTCCCACTGCATGAATTTCTGTATGTATAAATTATGTTTACGTGCGGCATTAGAGATGTGGTTCATAGGTAATTGTTCTGATTGTCGATTTAGATACTTTGTAGCTGTCAATAAATGAGTGATTCGATAAGACTGATATTTGGTGTTGTAGTATCGATCAAACGCGTGACATGAATTTCTGTGATTCATTTATTACTATCCTTAATCTGGACGAATATTGCATCCATTAATGTTGTAAATAAATCCACTAAATTGCCTTATATCAAAAACTAATCTAACTGTCAGTCATAATTACTTGCTTCTGAATGGGCAGCCAAATTCAGCCAATTTCAAATATAAATTGAATAGAATTATAGAAGTGACATGACATAGATACTAAATAATGCTCTTTAATTCAATGGAATACCTACACTAGGCTCTCAGATGAGATTTAAATAACGCAACAACATTTTTTTACATTTAAACGGGCAAAAGTAAAGCGCAGTGCCAGCTATTTGGACCAGTCCGCATATTATTCAATAGCTAGACAAATATAGTTTTACGCTACCATGTAATGCATAGCATTATTTTGGACTAATAGCAAACCATCTTCTGCAATGGACTGCACGGGTGGCGTAATGGTTTACGCGGTCGCCTCGCCGTTTCCTACTGCGTTGGGTGTTGTGGTTTCGATCACTAGATGGGACAACACTTTGTGTGATCCACAAATTGTTATTCAGAGTCTGGGTATTCTTTGTGTCCGTTGGAATAAATGTTTGTAGAGTACCCAGCGACACAGGCATTTAATCCTAATGCACACTATCAAATGACATCGTTTTAAAATATATTTACTTTTATATGTACTTTACGTGTGACGATAGATTGACGTGTAATATTTTTTATAGTGTGAAAAAATTATGAATGATGAAAAATAAGCAGACAGGTCACCTGATGGCAAGTGACTACTGCGGCTCATGGACATCTGCATCTCAAAAGTCACAAATGCGTTACTGCCCTTTCAGTCCCTTCCCACGACTACTTCCGGGGGGGGGAGTTGGGGCTCCGCTAACCTCACTTACTCGGTACAAAGCAACACCTTAAATAATTATTAATGATATTAATTTCATATTTCAGGTAAAACGAGCTCTCTAATCAGCATATCAGAAGCGATGGTACCCGTTATCTACTCGCCGGTGTACAGCAAGGTCTACCTCAATACTTTGGCAACAATGCCCGGTGCTTTCTACCTCATTAGCGCCTCGCTTGCCGTTCCTGCCATAGTTATTATAATGTAAGTAATATATGTTTTTTTTAGAAATGAGTAGAATGTAGTTATTGTACATTTTTGCATGGAGTATTGTATATTGCTTCAGAGCTTATTATAATCTTTCTAAAATATGTTTTCACTTCTGTTCATTGTAGCATTGCATACTTTGGATCAGCATATTCATCAATTCCAAATGCCTTTTGAATTAATTTAAGACAGGCTATATTTGTTATTTATTACTAAATACTAAAAAAGGGTGTGTGTGCAATTCACACACGGCAGAAGTGAAACTCACGAAAAAAAAAATATCTTAGAAAAACCCTACAAAATTTTGCCCGGCCCGGGAATCAATCTCACGTTTTTCAAATTCCACGCGAACGAAGTCACGGGTACCAGCTAGGATTAAATAAAAAGATAAAAATATTCACACTGTCAAAATATTATGATAAGTCAAAATATTAAATAATGTGTAATGTATGCTCATTCTCTTGTCGACTTAATCCTATACATTTATGTGTTTGTTTCTTTATTGCGACGCATTTTAGTTTTATCGAGTTTCAAATCACAACGATTCTAAACAAGTTTTATTTCAAGAATTAAACACTAGAATCTAATTATGAAAAATTAACTCGAAGCGACAGATTTAGTTTGAAAACTACGTGCCACACTTGCATGTATAAAAGTGTCAAGCCAGCGCATAGCCCCACGTTGCTAAACCAATTGCATTCTATTTCAACAATACTATGTACAAAAAAAGACCTTGCGGTCAACTCGGCTGCTTGCCCTTACTATAAATAATTTTGTCAATTGATCGATTTCACTATTATAACCTTGAACTGTTATTTGCTATTTTTGTATGTACTTTTCATGACCTCGTTTATCCTATGATAGTGCTTTTTATGGTGTGTCTTTGTCATAATGTTTGCAATTAGAAATTGTGAGACCTTGAGTTCAAACATAGCGATAATTGAGACAATGTCATATTAAGAAAGTTTAGGTGTTTTAAAGAAAATAGTTTTTTTTTGTTGTTGTTAAAATACCACACCGATGTTTGACGATGAACAGTTGGACTCTTGATCTCTAAAACGTAGAAAACTTTATATACCTAGGAGTCAGCATATACATAGATCACTCATACGAACTTGACATTCGTAGAGGCATCGGTAGGGCAAAAAGTACGATGAACCGATTGAGTAATATCTATGCAGATAGAGCGATATTAATGTTGACCAAGAATGGAAACTCGTGTTCTCTATATTTCTTTACGGCGCAGAAACATGGACGCTCAAAAACGGGTGGATTGATGCTTTTGGGATTTTGAGCTGGAGGAGAATACTACGGTACTTTTAATAGCTCACCGCACAAATATATGAATTCTGCGTGAAGTGGGAAACTCCCCAAATTTTCGACGATGTGTCTTTGTAGGATACTGAAATTATTTTATCACATAGCCAGGAAAAAAGGGACGACCTGAAAAAAACTACTGGTAACAGGGAAAGCAACCAAGAGGAATTCATATGTAGATAGATCAAATCCGCGAAATAAAAGCCACAAAGCCATACACATACCTAATACTCTTAAAGACAGAAGAATCAGTAGAGAGCAATCGTCCGGAAGATATTTGTAGAGCTCACAACTCTTCATAATTATGAACACAATACAAGGACGAGGAAATGAAAGTAAAGAAATTATGTATCCATTTGTTTAAAACACGTCAACAAAAAAAATACTTTAGGAAAAAAAAAAAAACTCTTCTCAAAACGGTAATACTACTTCAAATTAATGATTAATGTTCATCTGCTGAACGTAATCGTCTACAATACGACCTTCGTTACTCTGGAACGTATTTCTTAAATTCCTTTAGTATCTTTAGCATTGTAAGCTGATAACAATGGAACTATCTTTCAGACAAACATAGAATTTTGCAATCGGTCTATCCTTTATCGAGAAAATATCCCTATAAAGCCGACTAACTGATAATATATTTTTTTTGTAGTCGGCTAAAAAGAGGCACATATTGGTTGGTTACATAAGATATATAATATGTAGGTTTTGCGTTAAACAATACATTTCCAACTCTTACGCTAGCATACTTTGCGTAACCGTCTCTATTGGGCAAAAAATGAAGTTTATATGAAAATAATTTTACCTTTTACCTTAATAATGCCATTGTATCTATCTGTGAAATGGAAAAGAGTGGCCATGAGTTTGTTTACCCTTTCTTCTTAGAATACTTAACCCCTTGGAAACAGCGAGCGTAGATCGGCACAGGCAAATCATAAATTTTGTATAAGTATAATTTTTACTGTTACTTTTGTGTGTGTTGATCTATGACTTTAGAGCATACATACTCGTAAAAGACGATTTCAAACAATTTGAATTTTTTTATGAAATAAAGAGAGTTTGAGTTTGAATAAATACAATATGTATTCAAAAACAAGACCCCATAAAACAATACTTTTATATTGTTACTTGAACGAAACTAATTATTCATACGTACATACGTAATTACACATATTGGTACTAAGTGTGATCGTACCAAGTATGACATACATAGAAAGTGCTTTAATCATTTTTGTCGTAGTGTGAATTTAAATAGCATATAATTATACTCAATAAGCGCGATATTTAGTGTAAATAAATTTGAATCATTTCCGCAGATTAACGTGTTCAAACATCCAAGTTCTTCCGCTGTATAAGTAGACTCTTATTGATTGTACAGGTGTTGCAAATATTTTTTGCACAATTGAAACGAATTCCTTTAAGTAAAAATATCAGTCTTACATTTTAAGTGCACTTTTTCTGCATCTAGTTCTTTGTGATATATTTTTGTCCTTGTGTAATTACTGAGTACAACTGCTGAAGGCATGACGAAGCAATTATATAGAATCGAATCAAATATAATGACACCAAACGAACGAAGATTTGAGGAATGCAAAGAAAACAGAAAAGAGAAAGGCTTGTGTCCACTCTGTTGCTCACGGTGCATACCAAGAAGGTTTACTAGCAAAGCACAACTTTGTTATCTACCTTTAATATACCATAACATTTTTTTTAATACACAAAATTAAATAACATATTCTATAATCATTTGAATATGGTCTGCGTTATATTAACACCTTAGTTTTACGTAGAAGTATCTAGGACCAATATCACTTTCTGAAGTGTTTCCTATTCAACTACTGATTATAACGTAATTAATACCAATAATATTTGTCAAAACAAAATAATACCACATTGAAGCAGATGGACTAAGCTACTGGCGTAGACACGAAGTGTTCCGATATGACAGGTTTTGTTCTTCTAGCCATTGAATTATTCACTGAATTGTTTCAGTTAATAAATTGCCCAAATATGTTTTGTATGGAGCTGCACCACACTAAAAGAGAGCTTGTCTCATGTCGTTCTGGGAATTTTTGAAGTAAAACTTCTTTACGTACGCTTGACTTGGGAAGTAAGCTAGTGAATGCGTGACGAGAGTGTTACGAAAAGTGTGATCGGGCGAGGTGAACGGAAGTTGAGAGGGAGATATAAGTTAGTGAAAGAGAAGAGAGAGAGAAAAGTAGAAAGAGAGAGAGTTACGTTTCGTATATTACTGTAGGGGCAAGAGAGAGAGGCGCACAGAGGAGGAGGTAGGGGGCAGGAGGACATTTTCATTCTCTCTTTCTCTCATAGTCTTTCTCTCGTCGTCATTTTCAGTCAAGTGGTCTAAAGCACACTTGCTTTTTACTGTTTTTTTACTAAGTAGTTTAAAAACTAGCCTCACACAGTAATCATTGAAAGTGCTAACGATCCGTGAGACAACGAAATAAGGAGTACTAAGAATCTTGTGAAATAAAGGACGTTTAAATTATTAGCAGTTACAATAATTCTGTTACAACAATAGAACAATACTATTTTATTTTAAATTCAATATTTTAAACAACGTTAACCAACTGTAATGTAAACGTTATGAGCAACTACACAACGAATACTAAAAATAGTTTAAAATATAATAATATGAATGCAATAAAAAAACAATTACGTATTATAGTTACCTATTAAAACACCAAAAAGTCAGACTCACACTTTATAGCTGACCTTGGTCTTTTATAGAAATAATTATCTTTTAACAAGTGTCACTTACTGGAAATTTTAATGCGCCTACAACGTGATAAATTATAATAAACTGTCTTCTTCATTATTTAATTTTCCACCCTTAGGGGTGGTAACTTTTCTTTAAACTTGAATGCGACAAACGAGATGTATACTCTCTCAAATGGAGAAAAAAATCTAAATCGGTTTATACAAAACAAGTTCTGAAGTAGCAAACATACAAAAAAATACCACCGACTCTCTTCTTTATTTTAAAGTACATGTTTGACTACAAAGTCTTCCAGCGTAGACATAAATTAATTACCAAAACTTGCTGGGGGTTACTTCAAAATATTCACTCAAGGAATAAAAATCATCATCAACAGCCCTTAAGAGTCCACTGCTGGACATGGGCCTCTCCTTACAATGGCGATTGTGGCCTACAATACCACGCTGGCCAGAGAGGTTGGTATAGGGTGTGTTTCAAGTTCACTCGTGGCTGTCTCCTCAGGCTCCGACCGAGGAGGTCGACGTGGGGGCTGGTCGCTTTCGCGATGCGATTACGCATATCTGCGATGCGGCCATGCCCCGCATTCGAGGTCGTCGGCCTCCAAGGAAGGAGGTCTACTGGTGGTCCCAGGAGCTGGCGGACCTCCGTGCGGCCTGTACACGTGCCCGGAGGTCCTACACGCGCAGTCGGCGGCGTCACCGTGGAGACGGTGAGGAGGACCGGCTTCATGAGGAGTACCGACAGGCGCGGAAAACTCTGAAGCTGGCCATTAGCCGCGCCAAAGAAGAAAAGAGAGAGGAGATGCTGGAGGGTCTTAATCGTGACCCCTGGGGTCGCCCTTACCGCGCGGCGCGACAAAAGCTCCGCGCGTCGGGCCCCCCCCTTTCGGAGACTCTCCAGCCCAGCTTCCTGCGAGAAGTGGTTGAGGGCCTTTTCCCGCAACGAGCGGAACACACTCCCCCGGCGATGGCCTCCTTGGCCGGAGACGACGGGGAGCACGAGGAGGATGATGTTCCGTCCGTCCGGGATTCGGAGGTAGGGGCGGCTGTTCTACGGATCCGTTCCAAGAACACCGCCCCTGGGCCAGACGGGGTACCGGCCCGCGTGCTGGCCCTAGCCCTCAACCACATGGCAGACCGCCTCGGGGAGGTGTTCGACGCTAGCTTGGCTGAGTGCTGGAAGAGCGGGAAGCTGGTCCTATTAAGCAAGCCGGGACGGCCTGCCGATTCGGTCGCGGCCTACAGGCCCATCGTGCTGCTAGACGAGGCAGGTAAATTGTTTGAGAGGGTTCTGTCGGACGCCCAATTTGGTTTTCGGGCGGGGTGTTCGACAGTCGACGCTGTGTTGCGCCTGAGGGCCGTGACCGAAGAGGCCGTGAGCTGTGGCGGCGTGCTGTTGGCGGTGTCATTGGACATCGCCAACGCATTCAATAGTCTGCCATTCAGCTGCATCAGGGAAGCACTCCACTATAATGGGGTGCCAAAGTACCTGAGGCGGCTAGTGGCAGACTATTTAGAGGAGCGTACCATCGTGTACCGAGCGGAGAGAAGAGAGAGAAGAGAAGAAAGAGAAGAGAGCGGATTCCGCCCTCCGCCCGAAGACGTGCGCGAGTGGCGCGAAGCCGCTCGCCGAGCCACGATGGCTCGTTGGTCGTTCCGGCTGGAGACTCCACGCGCTGGCTTCGCCGCCGTGGAGGCTCTCCAGCCGGTCATCGCCGAGTGGGCGGGGCGGCAGCACGGGACCCTTACCTTCCGGCTGACGCAGGTGCTTTCCGGGCACGGTTGCCTTGGAAAGTACCTGCACTCGGTCGCTAGGAGGGAACTGAGTCCCGCCTGCCACCACTGCGACTGCAGTGAGGACTCGGCCCAGCACACGCTGGCGGTCTGCCCCGCATGGGCGACGCAGCGCCGGGCCCTCACTGCAGTCATCGGAGTGGATCTCTCGCTACCGGCCGTAGTACGCTCCATGGCCGGTAGCGACAGTTGTTTTACCGCGGTCGCAACCTTCTGCGAGGAAGTAATCTCGCAGAAGGAGGCGGCGGAGAAGGCCCGGCAGGACGACCTCCTTTTTCAAGTTTTCCTTCTTTTGGCAGTGCTGTTGTTTTCCGTCACCACACGGATATCAAATAATGAGGAGTAAAAATATTTGTTCAAGACGCTCTGTGGTTTTTCTTCGTTTCACAAGTAAAAACATCATTTTCATATCGTTCATTCACGCAGACTCCATTTACCTCGAATGTATTTTACGGTTGGGTTTAGTGCCCACAACTCCATAAAATTTCAAAGTTATGAGAACGTAAGTGTATCTTTAAACTACATAAATTACAATATTCTGAATAGAGTTATAACATGTAAGTTTTGAGTTTGGCTGACGATAACCGCAATAGCCCAGAGCTTGGTTAGCTTAGGGTTTAATTCGCCTATTGTTTAAGATTTTGAAATGAGTCTTAGTCAAATGTGAAAATGAAGCAAAGTTGTTTGTGGTTTCGACCGTAGAGTACTCTATAATAAAATAAAGCAATTCTTTTTTATAGTACCATTAAAACATCTGCATTGAATTCTACTAAATTGGTAGGTATGCTTAAACGTTAATTTTCAAAATTATTAGTGACCCCAAAACCGATGACTGTTCTAAGCTTTATGTGTATATAGATATACCCATTTATGTGTCTTTCTGTGGCTTTTACGTACTTCTGTGCTTATTTAGGTGTGTTGGGCATTTTTGAACAAGAAACAAAAGAATTAATTTTGTGAGATGAAAAAAAATTGAATCGAAAAAACAAATATCTTTGGTGGGATTTCACTTCTTTTTGTAAGTTGCTAATGGCAATATTTTTTTATTGTTTAATTTTGCTGGTGGTTTTGATGGGTATGATGATGATAATGATCATGATTAGATGTGCCTTGTTTCATTGCTCTATCTTTGGTCACATCGAGTACACATTAAGCATGCCCTAGTTTAAGGGGTTGGGGGGTAAAAGTTTAGTTTTCGATTTTTTTGTTGTTTGTGTACTAATACTAGCTAACATACCAAATTCACTTTCAGCTTTCTAGGACTTAAGGAAGTATACTAAGAATTTTAATGGTCATCACTGATGAAATCGGGTGTTTTAGTTATCAATAAAACCTAAAGTATAGGAGCTATGCAATTAAAAGTTTATATATTAATTAAGTTTACTAGTGAGATCATATCCCGAGAACTTTGTTTGTAGTTTATAATTCAAACCTAAGTTACGAGGGTTCAAAAAAATGACTAAGCGCTTTGAGAAAAGGTAGATAGTGCCCTTGCGCTTTGCTTGATCGTCTTGGCGGTGGCACTACCGCGCCCCCAGATTTCGGTGTACTACTCGTAAAACTTGACAACTTTTTATATGAAACACTCACGTTATTTGATAGTTCCAAACAAGAAGGATTCGATTCCCAATTGTACATAGCTCGAAAAAAGAAACCGTCATTGGAAAATATGTAGTAAAATACATAGAAATCAAATATCCTCAGATGTAACATAAAAATAGTAACACATATTCATGTGTCAATCTAGTTTGCCTTGCGATAAAGCTCGACATACTTTTATTGTTCTGGATACGTCATCAGAATTTAACTTACTTCGATAAAAAAAAATATATACATTCAAAGAGTTTTTTGTGCATATAGCAATAACAAATATAGGTATAGATTTGTACTTATTTATTTATGTATACATAAAAAAAAAACGAAGTATAACTTTAAGTTATTTAAAAAAAGCAGAGAATTATAATAAGTAGACTTAACTTACTATAATAATATGTATTTTTACAAGTGACAAGCAAATTCAATACTCTAACTATTACATAATATATCGTTACCTGCTTTACCGTAAGACGCTTTAAAGAACCGTCACCTTTACTTATTTCGTTATTGTTTGGTTCACAGAGTGCTATACAGCCTTCGAAGAAAAGATGCGAATGATGCCGCCGCTCAGGAAGCCAAGTCCGAGGAGAACGAAGTTACTCGTTTTTGATAAATGTTTATCGTTAAGTTTTCATCATCATCTGATGATGATGAGGCCTATGTCCAGCGGTGGACTGCAATAGGCTGATCTATTGCAGTCCACCGCTGGACATAGGCCTCTCCAATTGCACGCCACTTAGATAGAATAGGGGCTTCTCGCATCCAGCTCCTGCCAGCCATCTTGCGCAAATCGTCACTCCACCTGGCCTGCGGGCGTCCTACACTACGTTTGCCGAGACGCGGTCTTCACTCAAGAACTTGTTTTCCCCAACGGTGGTCGGTTCTACGGCTAATATGGCCAGCCCACTGCCACTTCAGCTTGCTGATCCGGTAGGCTATGTTCGTGACCTTGGTTCTCTACCTTGTTAATTTTGTAACTGATTTATATAAGCGAAAAATCTCAATAAATATAAGGTTTGTATAGAAACGTGTATATTTTATTTTGAAATGCTCAAAAACCATAAAGTTTAATAATTTAAAATATTTTACAAATAATAAAATAAGGTAAAAAAAAGCCGTGTGGTGTCGTGGGACACCCGATAGGAACGAAGTTGTGACGATCGAGTAAAACTGATTCGACACGATTTTAATTACAACGCCATCTATGAAAGCGGCTATTACCTACATATTTTTCACTTGGTTTCTAATTAAAACAATTTATACATTGGTAAAATCTCCTTGAGAAATGATGTCGAACACAATATTTAATTTTACTGAGATGAAAAGTAATGATTTCCTATCTATTCGATAGATGGCGCTGAATGACTGACAAGTGACAATTCAAAATAAAAAGTGTCGTTACAACTTTTCGTGAGATTTTTTTCCGTCTAGCCCCCTTTCACAAAGCGCGATAAGGAACTTCGTTCCAATAAGTGGGTCACTGCGGCCATGACCTTTTTATATTTTAAATTTACTTTACGTTACACTGCTAATGAAATAAAACCGATCTAGCAGACTGACATAATTTTTACGAGTACCTTACGAGATGCTGAGACTAATGTTGCACATTTTACTTTGTAAGTGTCAGAATTTACAGAGCACAAAGAGCACCTTTATTGGTTGACAATCAATCTAACCCGGAATCAACCTTTATCAACATACATTTTGTTTATATAACACATCACGTACACTTAGTAACCAATATGTGTTGTGAGTAATCATTTAATTAGTACAATGAATGCTTGGTGAAGATAACCCGTCAGATGTCAGTTCATTGCCTCCTATTATATACTTAGGTTTTAAATAAGACCTTTGTTAGGTTACTATGATTAAATTATTCCTTTTTTGTTCTACTTATTGGTTTAAATACAGTTTTTTACAGAGTTTTTATCGCAATAAACAACCTGTCTCTGATCTTCAGTTTAAAACGAGTAGAATTTATAATGTTATTTAACTGTCCAAAATTAGCTGCACTCATATTGCGAAGCAATTTACATGGTTGTAAAGAAAAAAGGTAGATTCCTTTTTTTCCTCACAACTAAGTACAAACGGGCTTACGTCGTCAAACCGAAAGTGGTTGAGGACATAATAGAAGAAACTACACCTTTATTGCAAGAGTTCTTTACATTAAGGATGTCGCCTAACGTGCTATAAACCTAACAGAGCAATGACCAGATTAGGACCCACTTTACTATTTTTATTGATACGAGTACACACATATAATATAATAATAACTCTTTGACGGTATCGCAGTTCATTGTAATAAAAGTAGTAAAAAAAAACAAGATCAGAAATGCAGAAAAATAGAACACAATTTAGCGAAAACTACTGGTCGGAGTTAGAATGTTAAGGAATTTTATAGACAGAGTATTATCTGTATAATAATTGAGGGCAAAATATAGGTTGCATTCCATTAAATATGGACGACAACTTTATTCGAAGAAGACAAAAGTCTTGTTTTATTTTAGGATTATTGCAATTTATTCTAAAATAACATTATGTAACGTATATTGTTGTAGACTTCTAAGAGATGACAGTGATACAAGATAACATATAAATCCACTCGAACGGAGTCGCAGGCACCACTAGTTTACATTATAGGCCTGTTTTGATTGCGATCAGTTATTCGGCTCGTTTTGTGTATAATCGTAAATGAATCATAAGACTTAGTATGGCTTTAACTTAATTAAAAATAATCAAAGGAGTTAATCAACAGCTTAAATAATTAAAACTGGGGTAAAATCGATTTAAAAAATTATAACCGAGAAGACTGCTTCTAAAAAGAGTAGTAGCGTTTCAATTTTAAAAAAACATTGTTTTTTTATAATAAATTTCCTTTTTCTTTAAATAAAATTCGATTTCACATTTAGGGAACAAATATTTTATTAAATTATACCTAAAGGTATTACCTATGAAAATGTTTTCAGAAGGTTCGTCTTTATTTTTATTTTAAGATGTTCTGTTCCTGTTATATGTGTTTCTGTAAAACACATATAATTGGGCTATTAATTTCCAAATGTTGACATAGTTATGAGCGACCTCACAGATTGTTATTAGCCGGTTTGCATCAATTATGTCACCCTGCTTATGTCCCACTGCTTTATGTCACGCTCACATCGTCTGATTTTTTTTAAATACACACTAATGTGTAGGTAATTGACTCAACTTACCTCAATCTTACAAGCTCGAGTATTTCTGGGCATCGTTTTTTTTAACTAACCTGATGGGCTGCCCTAGACGCTCCCGCTTATATGTAGGGCTCATGTAAGATGGAAGTACTCAACTGGGTGTAAGGTTTTCTTCCTTATGTTTCCACGCTCGAGTATATCCCTAAATCCCTTCTAGGTCTCCCCTACTTAATAGTATAGTATACTTAAATGGAATTCTTTTAGTACGGCTCATTACCTACACAAGTACCTATATCTTATATTATTTGTTTCACCGTACTGTTGAATATGACAAATCACTTATATACTAATAATATGCGTAATTGCTTAAACTATTTAAATAATTAAATAAATATTATAGATAACAAGTTCACGCTTGTTGAACCGTTTATCTATTATTTGTTTTGGACACAGGATATTAATTTTATTATTTATCTAGTACCTATCTAGTACAATGGTCAAAATTGGACTGCAATTCCATCAATTTTTAAATAAAAACTTATTAGGCATTTATTTTTTGCTAATGAATACCTTCTGAATACTCTACTACCTTGTATTTTTTCATGTCAGAGTGTGTTTACATGTTCTACTCTACTCCATTCTATTTCTTATGCTTATGTAGGGCATTATAACCACGGAGCAAATACAAGGTGTTGTAATTACATTTCCCTATGAAACAATTCGTGATAATTTGCAGCAAATACAAATAAGCAACTGTGTACTGTGATTCTAAGTAGGTCCTGACGTCATCACAGTGGGCGTGGCTTAAAATTAGTACACTTAGCGTCCGTGCTAATATTGCTGGACATAGGCCTCTCCTTAAAAAGGAAGTTCTGGCCTACTATACCACGCTGGCCAGACGGGTTGGTATAGGATTTGTTTCAAGTTTGCTTTTTCTTTGCAGTGCTGTTGTCCTGCGTAGTTAACTCCCTTAGTCGCCTCTTACGACACCCACGGGATGAATAGGGGTGGCGACATTTCGTATTCTTAATCCACCACACTTTTTTCCCTAATCGTTTAAATATTTTTAATACCTGAATTTTAAGCCTAGGTACTTTAAACAAATACCTTAAACCATGTTGTTGTACCACCAATTTGCTACGTTCTAATTAATACTTATACATAGGTATATAAGTTTATCAACATGCAATGTTTGTCATCATATAATGAAATATAGTCTACTTACTCGATATGGTAAATTACGCAACTCATAATAAATTTTAGTTAGTAATGACAGACAATAATAATAATAATAAACCTCACACATCTCACACGCGGCAGTCTGATCCCAAACTAGGCAAAGCTGTACTATGAGAACCAGACTGCTGAAAAACATACTTATTTATTTCTGAATACATACATATATTATTATAGATAAATTACATCCAGACACAGAACAAACAATCGTGCTCATCAGACAAATATTTGTCCTGGGTGGGAATCGAACCCTTGGCTTAGCACTCAGGGTCACTAACCACTAGAAAAACAGGCCCGTCGAACAAGTTATCTATAACTACTGCAAAGGCAAGGACAATTCTATAGACTTGCAACATTCCTGACTTTTATGCCTAAAATAAAATAGTACAATATCTTCATGTATTAGAATGGTTACAATTTACGTAATATTTTCTAGGTTCTAAAATTTAAAAAAACTGTTTCTCCTAAATATAAACAATAAAATTTCAAATGTTTCTCTTAAAATTTATTCTATACATTGCTTATACAGAAAACTACATTATTTTGACTAGAATTTCAATTTAAAGTTTTTAAAGGGCACTTTTGTTTTTATCTCATCTGGATTTTTCCTGTCTTCTATAAGCATTGTTAAGTACTTTCCTTGCTGACTTGAGGATAAGCTCACACCGAGAACCTCACAATTTCTTATGATTTCAGTACATCCACGTATATCCCTGTTCCTTACTGTAAGAAAAAACAATGTATCGTTTTATAAAAAAAAACAAAATTCTAGACTTGATCGTCTGACATAAACTAAATTATTTCAGTATAAGAACTTTGGTTTGGGCAATTATTATTTTTTTGTTTTTTTTTTAATACAACTTCCGCATTAGGAATATATTCTGTGTCGCGGGGGCTTAACAAATATACATGAAATGGACACAAAGACTCAACAACAATTAGTGGATCACACAAAGTGTCGTCCCATGTGGGGATCGGACCCACAACACTCAGCCTAGTAGTGAGCGGCGTGGCGACCGCTTAAACCACTATGCCATCCGTGCCTATATCTGATAAAACGAAGGCCCTTTTTATGCGTATATGGAAAGACAATAATATTTAGCAGAAAAAAGTAGAGAAAATTATTCATAGAGCCCAGTCAATGTCCAAATAGTTTTATTTAGAGATTTAGAACAAACCATATTAATAAACTGTGTTTTGTTCAGCAATACTTCATGTTATATATCAGTACAAATATTTGGTCTTATAGAGTTTAAGAAGTTCTGAAGAATCAGTCTGTCTGCATTATGTAATGTCTGTGCGCATTATGTAATGCGGAGAGACTGATTTTGTTGTATTCTTAATTTTACTTTACGTATATAACGGTAAATATTCTAAACTTGTATGGTTCTCACATACAGGCTGTGATCGGCGGTACTAAGCCTTAATAATATGCATCAGTACAGTGAGACCAGGCGTTTTCTGTCTTACCAAAGAGAAAACTATGAAATTGCAACTCATTGTGGTTTATTAATCTATTTATCTGTACCTATATACTCTTTACTCTCATCATAAACTACTGCAGGTAAGTTCAACTGTAGCGTCCTTCCTAACGATTGCTATGATCAAATTGAACATGTCATTTAAGGGGATTATTTGATCTTAATTTAACTTAATATTTAACAAAGCTCATGAGGGCAATTGATAAGTAAGTATGAGTATTGATACCAATTATTATGCAGGTACTTAATCATTGAAGTTCACAAGGGCAATGGATTAATATATTCAGGTCTTGTCAAGTAAAATAGGTTTGTATGTTTTGTTATGGATTTTGTTTACTATGCAATAAGACCGTTTGGTGTCCATGTACTAATGGCATCGCCAATTACAGGACGGACATACTGGTACATGGCACTGGCCTATTCAAGTTATTGCAATCTCAGAGCTGTTAGACCAAACTAGGGCCAGCTATATCCCTTACACTGTCATTCCCGGCCAACATTTCTTATTTGTCCAGTTGTCTGTGAGGATTGACGTCAGGAAGGTGGTTTGCCATTAAAGAAACCAGACAAAACCTTTGACACATTGCACCAACCCCAAATAAAATTGGAATCATCAGTAGAAAAGAACAGTCCTAAGCACAGTTTTGTATTAAGTCAGTATTCTATTGACTTGTTTGTGCAGTTTATTTATCTTGTAGATATTCTGTTTTCTGTGTGCATTAGTTCTATGGACCTATATAAATTTACTGCAAATTATTTAAACATTGTTCTTTTTCACACACATCAGGAGCGAAATGTGATACTACCTCTAGGTTTGCTTTAGGTTAAGTATACAGTATTACATGAAGATAATTTTTTATAAGCCACTTTAAGCAAATTGTGGAATTGTTAGAAGTTCAATAAGCTAAAACTTCTAATACAAATGGGTAGTACTTAAAAAAATTAGTTATCTACAGTTCTGTTGTAAGTTTTAATGTTATAGTTACAAAGAACTATAGAGGTCTAATTTCATAGTACACAGAGCCTAGTGTGAGTTTATTCAACATCTACATTGATTTTTAGATTACATTTTTACATTTATTCAAAATGACCACATTCAGCTTTGCGAATGGCCTGCATTAAAATCGTCACTAATCGTGACGGCGAACGCGCTCTCAGTCGAAAAGGAGTTGATGTTAAATAAACCCACACTAAGCTCTGTTTGGAGTCAAACTTTTTAAAGTCAACACTTTCTAGTATCAGATTAATAACTAATTGTAATAGACAATAAGCTTACACTTATAATTAAACAGCACTTGCAACACAGCAACATATTCACTCATCATGTCATATTTGAGTAGGTTCTGCAGGAGCCGTACAACTGCATCTTCATTGTAATCCTTTAAAGCCGATATACTAAAGGCTGTGGCCCTGGAAAATAGATATTAACATTGTTTTAACAAGATTCATTAATTAATTAAATAGTTGTTCATATGATCCAGTAGTTTAATCTGTATGAGCAGGTACCAAGGAATAGGAGCCATAGGAAGCCAGGAAGGAAATGCAAGGAAACAAGTTTATTTGGGTTAAAAGATTTATAAAAATAAATAAATATTCAAAACACTTACATATATAGATAAATCCCTAATCAACTAGTTACTCAATTTTTAAGGATAAGTTGATAACATGGCCATCCTATATCAGTATAATGGCATGACAATACATAACCTTCAAAACATTAGGAAAATTTTGTAAATTTTCTTTAACATTTTACTGGAAAGATCCTTATGTATTTATTAGAGTGGCTTTAAAGATTTAAAACAATAGAAGATTTTAAAAATGTAATCTATTTGTAGCAATTATATAAATTCATTTTGCTTAAACAAATAAAGTATACAAAATTGGCAACAGTTTTGTCCAAACTTGACCTGATTCTTTTCAGAAATTATTTACTTGCGACAGTGGTAGGTAAACATTTATGTTCTCTAGCATCCAGAGGATTGTAGCCGGTCAAGATTAATAGTATTAAATGCATATTACATACTGTGTTTTTGGGATAAAGGGAGCATAGGGGTTGATAATATTCCATTTGTGTAAAGCACAGATAACACATTATCCGGTAGATATTGCCAAAAAAGTTCTTAAACCAAAAAAGTGAACTTATATAAGTTATAAAAGAGTTCATGTCCTTTGTACTGTATAGACTGAAGAATGATTGATTAAGACATCAATAGCTAACACATACTTATCTTTTACAATCTCTTGAAGGTGCTCTGAGGCTTCCAATAGTTCATTAGACAACATCTGATCAGAAAACCAGGTACTAGCCCAGCAGATATGCCAAAAGCAAACCAAAGGATAATGTTCCGACCACTCCTCACTAAACTCTAACACATATTTTTTAAATATCATGAGAGATGCTTCTGATCTATTTAATACGGAATCTTGTATTAAATCTCTAAATAGTAATCTATAATAACTTCTCAGACTTTCATATTTACCATAAATAGTTTTTAATATTGTCAGCCCTATTTCAGAGTTGCCTCTTAAACATTGAGCTTTGGCTAAATAATGTAGGAACTCTCCATTTCGCTGGTACGAAAGCTGTTCCATTTTTGAACAGTAACTTTGTAGGATAATAATCATTTCTGGATTTCCATTGAGACTATAATGTTTAAAAAGCTTTTTCAATGATGCAAAAGTTATATACTTTTTATAGTTTTCACATTCTATAATTATTTCTTCAATGTGTTTGTCACTGTTTTTCGATAAAAGTTCTGTAAACATTTTGTCAAGTTCTGTTGCACTCATTTTAGAGACGTTATTTTTAGCACTTGTTGTCGTACAACGCTTCAAACTTATTTCTGATAGGTCATATCTTTGGATTTTAGTCCTATGTCTGTCTAATAGCTCATTTGTAACTGCGTCTATCGTAAACGTAGAAAAAAACCCACTGGGAGTCAAGCACATTTGTACCCATTTTCTGGTATTTAAAATCCTTACAAAATTAATAATTTGATTTGTCATTTGCAACCCCTTCGAGTTCATTGTTTGCAAAAAGTTGCAGTCATTTGAATATTACGTATGTTTTCTTCTGAGGACTTCTGACATTAGACAATAAGTCTTGTCTTATTGTTCTTCACGTCATGTTTTATGTTCTGAATAATTACAATATACCAATTACTTATATTAATTATTTGTTAAGGTTACGATTTAAATATACATTTTTTTAAAAGAAAGTAGTCAATGTACTCTGTGTCAAAACCCAAAATTGTAAACATCAGCTGTCAGGCTGACATATATAGATCCTGTCAAGTAGAGGTGTGAAGCTCCTGAGTGAGGGATATAAAAGATATAATTATATCATTCACGGCGATAAAATGTATCAATTACTCAGTTACAGCTCACTAATTTACGATCTTTGTTTCATGAGGCAGAGACTAAAGATAAATGAGTGAGATAGATCATAGTTCTGTTCATGTTTATTTAGTTTCTTTGAGGATTTTTTTTCAAAGGATCAAATTTTAACATTACTTCATTATTATTTGAGCATTAATCCTGCTAAGTATTTACCAGTAAATCTAGTTTTTTTTTAATAATTACTAGATTACTGTTGAATAGGCGAAATAGGGTCTTTATGCATCGTCTGAAAACAGCTTATTGCCAACAACGCGTCAGTAAGTAGTAACCCTAACCTACGTACGAAAAAATCGAATAATAAATCATCTGACTTTCGCATGTCACTGTGATTTTGTCCATGCCTAGTTCACAGATAACTAAAACATCCTTACTCATTTCACAACCGCTAATTTATCAATGTTGCAATCGCCCTATACCTTAATATAGAGCATTAAATAAATGGAGAAGCCCCTTACATACGCTTACCCCTCTGTCAAAATGGTATGAGTATCCAAGACATTATATAAAACTATTGGTCAGATTACTGAGTGTGATGACGTTACTTGTTAGTCTAATAAAAATATCGTCTTGCAGTGCATTTTTGTGCAAAAAGCGATCATATACATCAAATATACATAAGATAACATTATATTTCATCGATTGGCAATACTTCGTTCGAATATTATTAAATAATTGTTAACGCCATCTATCGGCGTTAATTAAAAAACGACAACCATCGTGAAGCGCGCGCTCGCTCACTCACTAACTCTCAACACTCACTCTCATTTTGTTACTCGCTTGTTAATCATATTCATAAGAAATACAATGTTAAATTCATTTCGTTATTAAACGTATTGAAAATCAATAATAAACTTATGTCATTGAAGAGCAACACCATTACGAAAGGATCCTGGCCTCAACAATAATGTTTGACTGCCTCAGTTGCGTATTGACTGCCTCGGTGGTGCAGTGATAACGTATGCGACTGCTGTCTTGAGTTCGCTTCCCAGGTCATTATTATTATTAGTCGCATTATTATTATTAATTTACCAAAAATAAACACCCATTAACAAGTCTTGCCATCTTTGTCACCAACGATCTGGTCTGGGGTAATATATCAGGATGATTATGCTTTTTAATTAAATTATAATCTATTTTACAGTTTACTTGGTTAATACATATCTTCTACGTATCATATGAGTTGTATATTGATGGGCTTTCGTTTACATGTTCATATATTTTTTAATATTTCTAATGTTTTCTTGTCAAACTCTATAACAAAATAATAATAAACTAAGAAGTAAAATAAGATGATAAAATAATAATTTAAGATTAGTGTACTTTCGTTTCACAATAAATATTTACTTTCGTCGTTTATTAGAAAATAAGATAATTAATTTAATTTAAATTACTTGATTATACATGTATATGTCAATCCATTAAAGGACTACAATATTTAGATAAGATATTTTTTAAAACAATTTATGAATTTGTGTAATGCGTCCTCTATCAATTATAATGAAACGTATTTCATATTTAATGTTTCTGTAGGTTATCTACTCGACACGAGATGTCGCTACGTAAATAAAGGAAGCTGTATTATGACAATTTTACTTACCCACCTCTTGTCCATGTTTTTAATGGGATAATGCGTTAAAGCGTAACAAACAAGTACACAAACTCATTTTCACAAGCATAAAATTAGTTACGATTGCGATTGTGAAGACATTTTTTTGTTGTTGTTAATTTATAAAGTATACCTTCCCAATCTAAATGAAAATCTGTAATTTAAGGTAAACGTCAGTTTAAGAAGACTACAGGGATTACACTCTCGGACTGCTTGTCATTTTTAATTGTTTTCTTTTATCATTTCTCTTAAAGAAATTAAATTAAATGGCAATGGAAACATACCATTCCCTATCATATAATTGGTACAATCTTTCTTATTATTTGATGCCCGAAAGATTTTTTCAATAAACGACAGACTGGAGGAGGATGTTTGAACTCGACGTGGTCTCAAATACAGAAATCAAGAAGTATCCTCCGGGATAAAAACAAAAACAATGTGTAGGTTCCATAGGCAATACGTATTCCAGCAGGCCCAGCTGAGAAGCAATATTTCAAATTAACTTAGGTAAGTATCGCATAATGGTAGGCGATTATCGTTAACATCAGTGCCTCATGGCTAGTTAGCTTAAATTGATGATTATGATTACAAAGACACCTTAAAAAAATCGAATAACAATCGTGTTGTGTCTATCAATCGATATTCAATACGTGGAACGGATTACGAATTTTATCTTAGGAGATATCGTATGACGCTCCAGTTTTTTTTTATTTTCTCGAAGTGATTGCCGACAATGATCGCCTGTCGATTAACATGCAGCTATTAGTGTTCATGCCAACTGCACAGCGGGGGAACCTGGCGGACGTTACTTCAAACTTACACGCTAGACCACGCGTTCAAAGCCATTTTTTTCGTGCCACGAGACATAAAATAACTCGGCTATTTGTTACAACACGTGGAAACGACGCATGACTTGGTAAATTAAAACTATTTACATTTAAACTTGGTTACTTTGTATCATTTCGAGCATAGAGATATAAGCAATTTTGAGACTCTAGGGTCCAGTCTGAGAGCATACCTTGTGTTTAAGTAGCTCAGGTTTTTATGCCCGTGGGATATTAGTGTAAATATATACCTATACCTATATATATATTTATACGCTGTTACGTAGTGCTTAATAGGTATATGGTTTTTTGTAATTATGTGTGTGTGTATGATATAGGTCAACCGCCAATCCCTTTGAGAGTGTGCATTATATAGTGAGGAGCGGTTACTGATCTCGAAACAACGCATTTTTCACTACTTTTACTTACTATATATTAATAATGTACATAATACGCTAATAATAAAATAAATAATAAAACAATCGCGATGTTTCGTCCTATGCAATCTATATATATGTATATGTTCATATTTCATAAAGCTGATTTGTCCTCTCGGACAAAGACTTTTCTAATTAAAAATAGGACACAAATATTTATGTTCCATATTTTTATTATTTGAAATGCGAGTAAGTTTCCTGGCGTGACACTTGGCTTATATTACATTCCTTGTGCTTTGTTTTCTAGGGACAGCCACGTGGAATTAAAAGTCTGGACAAATGTTGATGAATTTTCATTTTATTATTAGTTGTATTGTTTCAATAATACACAGGTTTTGTTGTATGTAAAATATCTTACTTTATCTTACTTTTCGCAAAACATAAGCAAGCTTTTTTTGGCTTTCTAGGTTTCGATGGAATATAATCTACCTACTTAAAAAAAAAACGTTTACAGAGGTAAAATTGTTTATACCTAGCCCTTTTTAAACAAACATGGATCACGGAAACAATTAAATTGACGGGCCTGGTGGTCTAGTGTTTAGTGACCCTGACTGCTAATCCGGAGGTCGGTTCGGGTTCGATGTCTGGGTGTAATTTATCTATGATATGTATGTATTTAACATATATAAGTATGTTTATCAGCTGTCTGGTCACCAAAGCATAGGCTCTGCTAAGTTTGGGATCAGACGGCCGTGTGTGAGATGTGTAGGTTAAATTATTATTATTATTATATATATTATTGAGCAAACGAGTGCGAAAGTTGGATTGGAAATGAATCTAACGAAGACTAAGACAATGACTAATACACGAATAGGACCTATAACTATAAATGGTAACCCCTTAGAATATGTGGAAAATTAAATCTACCTGGAAAAAAGAATAAGTTTCGAGAAAAACAGCAACACCATAGAAATAGAGGGAAGGGTTCAACAAACCTGGAATAAATACGGGAGCTTAAAAGAAATATTTAAAAATAACCTACCAATAACTCTCAAAGCTAAAGTTATGAACTCATGTCTACTACCAAGCTTAACTTATGGAAACCAGACCTGGAAATTCTCTACACAAGTTATCAACAAAATTAATACATGTCAAAGAGGTTTAGAGCGAAGTATGCTAAACATAAAGAGAATGGACAAAATAGGACACACAAAGATAAGAGACATCACTAAAGTCACAAACGCTTTGACCTTTGCTTTAAAAATGAAATGGCACTGGGCTGGCCATGTAGCAAGAATGTCTGACGGAAGGTGGACTACACGAGTTACACAGTGAAAAGGACCACCAGGCAAGAAGGGGAAGGGGAGACCCTTAGCCCGCTGGGAA